CAGAGTCTATCACCAGTACAAAGTCTATTGTGAAGAGCCACCCAAACAATAAAGTTGACTTTAGGGATTCTATGAGGGCCCCACACAAGCTTATGCCAAACCACTTTATCGAATTTCTTTCTCCAATGATTCCAAGCTGATTGAATGGAAAACTTACCATCAGTAGTAAGATTCCAAAGAGCTTTATCAGTGCTGGAAGGATTGGGATTAAAGCACACAGGAGTAGAAGAGATTAACTCCTGAATTTCCCAAGAGTTGGAGTAGGCCACTTCCAAGAAGACCCATCAATGATTTTACTGACTTTTGTTTCACTGTTAAGGGAAGAATCATAAATAATTCTATCCCCGAATTTGTTCCACAATGGACCAAGAGGGTGCCAATTATCATACCAGAGGAAAGTAGCATCCCCACACCCAATCTTATGCTTAATCAGAGGGGAAACCCACTTCCTAAAAGACAATAATTTTCTCCACACCCAAGAAGGATCATTAGGAACCTTAACTTTCCAGAAACTCTTCCCCTTTAATAAGTAGGATCATTAGGAACCTTAACTTCTTTTTGTTTAGAAGGATCATTCAATCCTCTAACATTCCATGAATCAATTTTAACAGTCATTGGGAAACAAAAAGGGAGATGACAAAAAACCACAACCAACTGAAACTGATTACCTCTTCTTCTTCCTCTGACTGCTGCTACCTTTTGCCAGAGGACTTGTTCTTCATATACTGGTTTACCTGAGCTTCAGTATGTGTCTTCTTTGTCTCTTTCATTACTGTCTCTAACATTTCAGCAGCATTAGGTATAACCAGCTCTGTAATCTCCAAGATCTTCTTTTGAAATCTATCCACATCGCTACTGTCAGAGCTTACTTCTTCCACAGAGGAGCTCTTCTCGGCCGGATCCTCCTGAATCGCTTGAGTTTGAATTGAAGGAGCCAAAGGCACTACAACTGAAGCAGATATAGGCTCCATATCTGGGGAAAGATCAGGGGACTCCACCACTTCAGGTATAGTCTCTAACTCAGGATCCCCCACCTTCCTCTTACCCTTAGCTTGAACAATGGTCCAACCTTCTTCCTGAGAATTGACATTCTCTTCGGTGACCTTCTGCAAGGAGATCAACTGGGCCACTTGTTTGGAAACACACTTCTCAGTACTGTGTCCAAAGATCTGACAGTGTTGACAGACAGAAGGCAGTCCCTGATATTCAACTTTAATTAAGACAGCATCATCTCCACAACTAATTTGGAAATAAGAAAGCAACTTTGATGTAGCCTCTATCTCCACACAGATTCTAGCAAAAGCCACTCTACTACCTCAAGCCGTAAGCTGATCCATAAAGAGAGGGTTGCCAATTGCACTAGCAATCCTGCTTAATCCATCAGGGTCCCAATACTCCAGAGGGACATTGAAAAATTTCACCCAAACTGGGATTTTAGTGGATTTCTCCTTAGCAAGTTTCATCATCCTCTTCCATTGTTTCAAGATAAGGAGATAACCCCCAATATACCATGGGCCTCCCTCTAGAACGTCTCTACAGCAATTAGGAGTATCAAATATGAAGAACATGAAGCCATCCCCATTTGTGAGAACTTCCTTAAGGCCCTTAGCCTTCCACATCCCAAACGCACTATTCCGAAGATAGTTATACCCAACTCCTTTATCAACAAAATAACCAACGAGACATGAATCCCATTTCTCTAATGGATCAGATCTTGCTGGCATCTCTACCACAATACTATCTTCTACAGCAGTTGGAGGGACATACCTGAGTTTGACGTTTGATCAAGTTGATGCAGCAGTAACATTGGCCCACGAACGGTTCCCTTGGCCCATTTGCTCAGCTGCTCTGTTACCACCAGGGCCACCGCGGCCTCCTTTCCCACCCCGATAACTACCTCCCCCCTACCACCTCCCCCTTGAGTAGACATGAAGTCACCAAGAGGAATCTGGGTTTCAGAGATAGGAGCCAGATCTGGATCGCTCAGAACAACACTATTCTTGGCCCCCCCTGTTACGCGCGATCTCCAGGCTATCGGGCAGATTTAGGAAGCTATTGTCCTCTTCCTCCACGATTTCAGACCAACTCGTACCAATCTCATTACCAATCGGCGTAGATGGCTCCTGACCAAGACTTGGGAACATCGGAGCCTTCATTTTATCCAAACCCTGCACAAAATCCTTAGACCCAACATCGATTGGGGATTTAGATAGGTCTAATCCCACAATTTCCAAAACCGAAGCCAAAACACCCATTTCTCCAGAACGATTTGCCTTAACGTTAAACTCCACACAGGATAGATTAACCATCGGACTTCCAACACTGCGATTTATGGTTGAAACACCCTCGCCACTAGGTTTAGTAAGATCTGCTTCAGAAGCCATCAAGTCGTCACACAAGGTCGTAAAACGATTATTAGTGAACCCTAGATTTCAATCGACAAGACCTAAAGTCTTTACTGACTCACCCTTAGCATTTCCCCCCTCATTACACTCACTAATGGTAGCAATTACTCCAGACATCGGCAGAGATGTCAAAGCTTCTCTCACTAACCCATTTTCTTTTCCACTTCTAACTATTTCCAAACCCGTGGATAATAAAGCCATAGCTCATATTAGTCCATTACATTCATTTCAAACCCATTCCAAAACCATGGTTAATCCCTTAGGCATTAACACCTTCACCCAACTCGCATTAACAATAGAGGTCTACAACATAGGTTAACTACCCTCCATTTTAGTTTTCCAAATGAAAATATAACTTAGGGCTTTTTCATCTTTCAACTAGAACATGCTAATTTACACTTGAATTAGCCGAGAGCAACCATCAATGATAATACACCCATTTTCAAACAACCAACCTTAGGTTCCTTCTCATGATTTCTAACAAATCCAACATGGATATGATTTTCATGCAATACAAAATTACCACATGCTATCCATACGCGAAGTATTGAAAAAGAACAAGGAAATCCCTACCTCAAATTCGGAGCCCAAGGGAAGAAGATGAAGAAACCAAAATGCTCCAAATTCCAAGATCCACGAATCAAAACGAAGCCCTCGACAATCAACACAACATTTACAAAGGCCGAAGGAAAGGAAGGCACTCTAACTAGATCAAACCCTAGAGAGAAGGGAGTTTCTAGAGAGAGAGGCTCTCAAAAATGTTTTTGGGAAAGTAAGAGAGAGAGAGGAAGTGTAGAAAATGATTCAAAAATGTCCAGCTGCCCTCTGTTATACGACATTCCCGCTCGAGTGGAAAACACAACGCTCGAACGTCAAGAACAAGAAACTAGGTCCGCTCGAGTGCAAGAAGTCCAGCTCGAGCGCCAAGACACAAGAATAAAGTACATCCACTCGAGCGCGAAAACCAGTCCACTCGAGCGTAGATTTTCTCCTCCCAGAACTTACACAAAAAATGTACTACCCGCTCGAGCGCGACCCGCTTGGGCGTAGGAAATTTGCTCGAGCGTAGAAATCACACCTACAGAAGTTTTGCAGAGTACGAAAATACTGGAAGTGCGCAATCTCTGCTCGAGCGCTCTAAGACTCGCTCGAGCGGAACGACCAAAAACCTGGCAACAAGATTTTAGACCAAGGCTCAACCCACCTGCCCGAAACATGCCCAACACAACCCAAAACTCTAAAACAAAGAGTAAGGGATAGAAATGAGGATAAGACAACAACAAATCTACGGAACCGAGTCCGGATTACAGTTAAACAACAACAGGGAATACCGGGATCGTTATAGAAAGTTAGAGAACAGAAAGAGAAGTATGAAGAAAATCAAAGGGAATTAAAATTCATCTTTTTTAAAAGGGGGGATTAGGTTGAGAGCTTCTCTCACTAGGTTCTAGAGAGAGAAAGCTCTCTCCGTTGTTACCCATGGAGTCTTGAGGTTCCCTTATCAGATTATTGGTCTGGTTTGGGTGGTGCTAGTTGTTGTTACTGAATATGGTCATATTTTTTTGTCCAGATTTAGGAGGGTTTGTTGCTTGTTCCGTTTCTGGACAGTGTTTTGTCCAATTGGTTGTGTTGTTCGACAGAGGTGAAGATCATTTGATTAGTTTCAGACGTCGTTGCTGCTGTGTTGAGGTTGATGTTGGGTTCATAACCATTGTGTGTGGCTACTTTTGGTTCTGTTTATCCAGGTTATGCGAGAAGGGGCATGGGTTCACGCATGGCCTAAAGTTTGGAGGCAAGTGCAGAGCTTCTACCTTAGTGGTTCAAGTGATTTCTGGGCTGTCACCGATGTTTGTGTTGCTGTTGGAGTTCATACACTGAGCTCCGTGATGGTAACTCGTGGTGCAAGGGGTGTTTATTTCTGTTAGCTCCGTGTTGGTAACCCGTGTTGCTGCTGGAGTCCAGAGTTTTCTGTACACAGTTGTGTTTCTGAGTTGTGTACTACGGCTTCTGGCGTCGTTCGCCGTGGTTCTAAAAACTTGGTGTGAGTGCTCATCCATGGCTGTTTGGGTGGGCAAGGAACGTGTTGAAAGTGATGAGTGGCTACACACGTTACAGCTGCGCGTGTGTGGTGGAAGTTGGTAATGGAGTCCAGCTTTCCCGCCGTGTTTTTGGCAGCTGTAAGAGTGGGATGTGATGTAAAGAAAAGCGTATGGTGTTGATGTACTTCACTCTGTCGTGATATTTGTTAATATATATAGTTATATATATTCGGCAAAGTGGGTTCTCACCTGGCACAGCAAGTTTGTTTGGTGGGCCATCAGAAGTTTTAGTAGAGTTACACGTGAGTGAATTTTGGCCCACGGTTTTGGGTTTCAAAACAAGCACATGGTTTGGTTTGGTGATCTTGATTTATGGTGGGGCCTGGGTTTCAAAACAAGCACATGGTTTGGTTTGGTGATCTTGATTTATGGTGGGGCCAGCCAAGTTTGATATTGTTTATTGCCAACAATGAGGTTGTATAGTGGCTTGTTTGGAGATGGGGCCCGCCACTACACATTGTTGGTAAAGCCACACTTCAGGTGAAGCTTTGTCTATCCATGTGATTTGCTTTGTTTGTTGGTTTTAAATAATATATATATATATATTTATATATATTCTGTTATATTGCTTTTATGTTGCAACAAAAGTGAGCTGGACGAGTAGTATGGATTGTCACGTGGGTCCCTCATTTAAAGACGAAAAAATGGCCTTTGCAAGTGGTGGGGCCCACGGTGGTTATTTTTAAGTTGGTTTTGATGGTGTGGCCGTGGTTTTGAGTTGGAGTGGGTGGGCCCACAGTGGTTATTTTTTTTTAATTGGTTTTGATGGTGGTGGACTTCTTAGTGGGTCTTTGGATTTTAAATCAGTGGGTTCTTTGGGCTTGTGCTGTAATTGGTTTGTAAAGGTTTTTTGATGCATAGCTCCGTGGGTTTCTTCAATACCGCGGGATTTTGATTAGTGCAAGTGTGTGCTGTCCGTGGCCTCCATTGTTTTTGTGGTCCACGGCCAATTAAGGTAAATTAGAAATTTGTTTAGTCCATGAAGTTTGTTGTCTACTACATTTGGTTTTTGGTTATTTGGTTATTGATCCGTACATATTCATGTGATTAGGCTTAGAGCAGTTCTCTGACCTCTTCTGGTGTGGAGTGAGGGGGACACTGCCATGGGGAATTGAGGTGTGGAATTTTGCCATTGCTGGAACTGGGAGATGTATGGTGAGTTAATTGGATTTTGATTGGCTCTTGTGTGGACAACATTTTGCCTGCGCTGTGCTTCTTTGTTGTTGATAAATCCAAGTGGGTGAGTGGTTTTGTTTTGGAAATTGGTGGGCCTTTAATTTTTGGTTAGCCACAATGCAGCGGACCGCTTGTAGTCAGTTATTGCATGATGATTGATTGTGTGATCCTCATGTGACTTGATATTAGGGTGGTTTTGAGCCATCTCCACCAAGAGTTATTGGGGAGTCACTGCTTTGGGGAATAGTGGTTCGATAACTAGCCGAGTTAGAGACTGGGAGATGAGCAGGAGGATAGCTACCGGTTTGCTGGTCGCTTCTTGTCTTCATGTGACCCATCCTAATTGATTGTATTGCCACGCCTGACATGGAGTGAAGGGGACACTGCCGTGGGGCTTGAGGCTTGTGATCTACCACGGAAGGGACTGGGGGATGTGATGATTGCTCTCATGTTTTGTTGGCTATGTATTGGTTTGTTGCGTAGAAAATAAAGACGAGGATTTCGGAAAGTTAGCGAAAAAGAAGGAAGGGGATTAGGTTGAGAGCTTCTCTCTCTATATTCTAGAGAGAGAAAGCTCCCTCCGTTGTTACCCATGGAGTTCTTGAGGTTCCTTATCAGATTCTTTGTCTGATTTGGGTGATACTGCGTGTTGTTACTGAATCTGGTCTTCCTTTTTCCAGATTCAGGAGGTTTTGAAGCTGTTTTGGGTCGTTGTTGTCGTGAAGAAGAAGTTTTGGTGCTTTTTTGGCCAGTTGTTTTAGCTCCTATACTAATATTTGTGTGTTAGTGAGCTTGGGTTCCTAGTTCTGATCATGTTGTGAAACTGTTGCAACCGGTCTTCTGTGGCTGGTGTGTGTTCTGTGTACAGTCCATCCATGGCAGCGTTTCGGCACTGTGGTGGTGTGGGTGAAGTCATACGTTTGTAGCTCCGTCGTGGAGTTGCAATTGATGTGTGTGCGGGAGCCGACAGGTGGTACCAGATGGTTCTCCCGACGATGTGGGGGGCTTCGTCGTCTAGTTTGTGAGATTCACGAGCTTCGCCGGTAGGTGGTCTTGCCCTCCGACGTGTTGTTGGGTTGACAGGGGTGGTGGCAGTCTGCTGCAATTCACAGTCGCCGATTCGGCCTGCCATCGCCGGTTGACGAGGTAGTGAGCTGGTTGGAATATTTCGACGTTCCGATTTGCAGATTAGGCTGGTGCCGTCATCTTCTTTGGATGGTGGCTGCTTTTCCGAATCTGGTATGATCTGGTATCGTTGCGACAGTCCAGAATAGGTGGTTGCTTTTCCGAAGTTGCTTTTCCGGCAAGTTGTTTAGTTTCCGGCGCTGGTTTTCTGGCATCGTCGTTGTTATAGCTTGATATTCTACAATGTAATGTTTGGGAAGGATGGTGTTTACACGCAGCAAGAGCGCGTGTTCCAGACCTTGGGTGGTTCACCAACGTTGGGTAGAGTGAGCTGATGTAAAGTTGATGTGTTTTCTGTATTGCTACAGGACCATCATCATGTGGATTGTTTTGGGGGGAAAGTCAAATATTTGTGATAAAGGTTTCAAGTGATGGGGCCCGCCATAACGAGGTAATCGTGGCTTTATATGGGCTAACATTGTGCATATTATTATATATGTTTTGAGCTGGAAAGTGGGGTGAATGGGCCTACAGAAATTTGTTAAACCATGTTCTCATGGTTATTACACATATAATTGGGCTCCGTTTTATATGGGCCCACTGTGTTTATTTTGTGTTGTAAAAGAATTTTGGGCTATTTTTGTGGAGCAAGGAGCCGAAATCTGGAGTGCATGGCGTGGGTTACTGGGGCCCACTTGGATTTATATTTGGAAAATTCCTTTTGTTTAGTCTCTTTGCAGCGGGTCTTTTTTAGTTGATTACTTTATGTTGATTGATCGTGTGATCCTCATGTGACTCGATATGAGGGTGGTTTTGAGCCATCTCCGCCAAGAGTGATTGGGAGTCATTGCTATGGGGAATAGTGGTTCGATAACTATCCGAGTTAGAGACTGGGAGATGAGCAGGAGGATAGCTACCGGTTTTCTGGTCGCTTCTTGTCTTCATGTGACCCATCCTAATTGATCGTATTGCCACGCTTGACATGGAGTGAAGGGCACACTGCCGTGGGGTTTGAGGCTTATGATCTACTAAGGAAGGGACTGGGGGATGTGATGATTGCTCTCATGATTTTGTTGGCTATGTATTGGTCTGTTGCTGTGAGGCTATTGTTTGTCACTACAACTCCCAAGACCGTTGATTATGGTTACTGATCGTGCTAGCTTCATGTGACTTTGTTGTGATTTCTCGTGGGGTAGATTTTTTTCATCTGTCACGACTTTGGTTAAGTGGCTAGGATGTCACGGTTGTGAGGAGTGGGTTGCTTATTGGATTCCATGCATTTATCTACAACAGAGACTGGGAGTTTGTGGGGTTGGTTATCGTCTTGATTCGGCTTGAGGGTTGTTGCTTTGTGAGTGTGTCGGTTGTTTTTTACGCTTTGTTTTTGTGTTCTTGTTATTGCCCATATATCCACCCCAAGTTTCCATCTATTATCTCTGATGGTAGAGGTTACTTGGGGACATTTTGATATATGGGCAAAGTGGGGTCTCTTGTTTTTCTGGTGTTGTCTCGCCTCTGCGGGGTTGTTTTATGGTTTAGGGAGTTCAGTGGTTGTTTCTGTTGTTTTGTATTGTTTTTTATTTGTTGTAGGGCGTACCTGGGGTATGCCCCTTGTAAACTTGTACATTTTACTGTCTTTATTTTATGACTTACTTACCCAAAAAAAAAAGTATTGGTTTGTTGCAGCGGGGCGATTGCTTTTTCACTAAACTTCTCAAGACCGTTGATTATGGTGATTGACTATGCAGGCTTCATGTGACACAGCCAGGATCTTTCATGGGATAGATATTTTCCTTCGTCATAGCTTTGGTTGAGTGGCTAGGATGTCACGGCTCTGAGAAGCGAGATGCTTATTCGATTCCATGCTTTCATCCGAGGTAGAGACTGGGAGCAAGCGGGGACAGTTATCATTCTCGATTGGTCTTGTTGGGTGTTTAGTTTGTTACATTTGTATTGTGTGTTTGTCTGTTATGTTCTTGAGTCTGTGGTGTGTTTTTGTTTACTTGCCCATATATCCACCCCAAGTTCCCATCTATTATCTCTGATAGTAGGGGTTACTTGGGGAAATTTAGGATATATGGGCAAAGTGGGGTTCTATTTTTTCTGTTGTTCTTTCGCTTCTTGCGAGTGTGATTACATGTTGTAGGATGTCCAGTGGTAATTTGTGGTGTTTTCTGTTCGTCTTTATTTGTTGTTGGGCGTACCTGGGGTATGCCCCTTGTAAACTTGTACATTTTACTGTCTTTATTTTATTACTTACTTACCCAAAAAAAAGAAATAGAATTTTCTAAGTAATATTAGTTTAACGATATTAGTTTTGCTTAATCATCTCATTTAAGGTTTTCTAAATTACCTAAGTGTTCAATTCTCAAATCCAAAAAGATGAATTTTAATTCCCTTTGATTTTCTTCATACTTCTCTTTCTATTCTCTAACTTTCTCTTCTAGCTCTCAAGAAGAATGTTTCTCTCAAACCTTCCCTGTCCTTAGTTCCTAGAACAAAATAGAGTAGGATGGAGAAAGTTAGACAGAAACATTCTTCTTGAGAGCGAGAAGAGAAAGTTAGAGAAAAGAAAAAGAAATAGGAAGAAAATCATAGGGCATTCAAATTCACCATTTTGGACTTGAGAATTGAACACTCAGGTGATTTAGAAAACCTCAAATGAGGTGCTTACGTTAAACTAATATCGTTATGCAACAATTACTCTGAAGATTTTCTTTCTTAGAGGCTAAGCAAAGCAAGTTTCAGTTAAACTTGGCCACTTGAGCAAATGAAACAATTAGTGGCCTAAGCTAATTAGTTCCCAAAACAGAAAAGATAAAGATGGAGAAGGACGGAGAAAGTTATAGAGAAACATTCTTCTTGAGAGCTAGAAGAGAAAGTTAGAGAATAGAAAGAGAAATAGGAAGAAAATCAAAGTGAATTCAAATTCAACCTTTCGGTCTTGAGAATTGAACACTTAGGTGATTTAGAAAACCTTAAATGAGGTGATTAAGATAAACTAATATCATTAAAGTAATATTACTCAGGAAATTCTATCTCTAAGAGGCTAAGCAAGGTTCATTTGAGTTAAACTAGGCAACTTCAGCTAATGAAACAATTAGTGGCCTAAGTCAATTAGTTCCCAGAACAATGTAGAGAAGGATAGAGAAGGACAGAGAAGGACGGAGAAAGTTAGATAGAAGCTTTCTTCTTGAAATCTAGATGAGAAAATTGAAGCAAAGAAAGAGATATTGTAGTTGTGTAAATTTTCTTGTTTCATTTATTTCTTATTCACCCCCCCTCCCAAAAAAAAGAAAAAGAGAAGAAAAAGTTAGAGAAATAAAAGAAAATTAGGATGAAAATCACAGGAAATTCAAATTCATCATTTTGGACTTGAGAACTGAACACGTTGCCGATTTAGAAAAACTTAGATGAGGTGATTAAACTAAACTAATATCATTAAAGTAATATTACTCAGGAAATTCTATCTCTAAGAGGCTAGGCAAGGTTCATTTGAGTTAAACAAGGCAACTTCAGCTAATGAAACAATTAGTGGCCTAAGTTAATTAGTTCCCAGAACAATGTAGTGAAGGATAGAGAAGGACGGAGAAAGTTAGATAGAAGCTTTCTTCTTGAAAGCTAGATGAGAAAGTTGGAGAATAGAAAGAGAAATAGGAAGAAAATCAAAGGGAATTCAAATTCATTAATTCATCTTTTCGGACTTGAGAATTGAACACTTAGGTGATTTAGAAAACCTTAAATGAGGTAATTAAGCTAAACTAAAATCATTAAAGTAATATTACTCAAGAAATTCTATCTTTAAGAGGCTAAGCAAGGTTCATTCGAGTTAAACTAGGCAACTTTAGCTAATGAAACAATTAGTGGTGTAAGTTAATTAGTTCCCAGAACATTGTAGAGAAGGATAGAGAAGGACGGAGGCTTTCTTCTTGAAAGCAAGATTTTTTTTTTTTGGGTGGATAAGTCATAAAATAAAAGACAAAAAACTTACACCACGACAAGGGGCATACCCCAGGCCCTAACCAAGCACTATACAAGAACCAAAAAAACAAAAAATAAAAGAAAAAGAGAAGAGAAAGTTAGAGAAAAGAAAGAAAATTTGGATGAAAATCACAGGGAATTCAAATTCATCCTTTTGGACTTGAGAATTGAACACTTTGCTGATTTAGAAAATCTTAGATGAGGTACTTAAGTTAAACTAATATCGTTATGCTATAATTACTCAGAAAATTCTCTTTTTTAGAGGCTAAACAAGGTTAGTTTGAGTTAAACATGGCCACTTAAGCTAATGAAACGATTAACGGCCTAAGCTATTTAGTTCCTGGAACAGAATATAGAAGGACGGAGAAGGACGGAGAAAGTCAGAGAGGAACATTCCTTCTTGAGATCTAGAAGAGAAAGGTTGAAAAAAAAGAAAGAGAAATAGGAAGAAAATCAAAAGGAATTCATGTTCATCATTTTGGATTTGAGAATTGAATGCTTATATTCACCCAAAAAAATTGAACGCTTAGGTGATTTAGATACCTTAAATGAGGTGTTTAAGTTGAACTAATTTCCTTAAGCTACAATGACTCATAAAATTCTCTTTCTGAGAGGCTAAGCAAGGTTAGTTTGAGTTAAACTTGGCCACTTAAGCAAATGAAACAATTAGCAGTCTAGGTAATTTTGTTCCTAGAACAAAATAGAGAATGATGGAGAAGGACTGAGAATGGTACAGAGAAACATTCTTCATCAGAGGTAGAAGAGAAAGTTAGAGGAAAGAAAAAATAATAGGAAAGAAAATCAAAGGGAATTCAAATTCATCCCTTTGGACTTAAGAATTGAACACTTAGTTGATTTAGAAAACCTCAAATAAGGTGCTTAAGTTTAACTAATATCCTTATGCTACAATTACTTAGAAACTTCTATTTCTTAGAGGCTATGTAAGGTCAGTTTGAATTAAACTTGGCCACATAAGCAACTAAAACAATTAGCGGCCTAAACCAATTTTTTTGGGTAAGTAAGCTTAAACCAATTGGTTCATTGAACAAAACAGTTGATGGAGAAGGACGGAGAAAGGTAGAGAGAAACATTCGTCTTGAGAGGCAGAAGAGAAAGTCAGAGAAAAGAAACAGTAATAGTAAAGAAAGCAATGAGAATTCAAGCTCATCGTTTTGGACTTGTGAATTGAACACTTAAGTGAATTAGAAAACCTTAAATGAGTACTTACCCAAAAAAAAAAACCTTAAATGAGGTGCTTAAGTTAATCTAATATCATTAAGCTACAATTACTCGAAAAATTCTCTTTCTTAGAGTCTAAGCAAGGTTAGTTTGAGTTGAACTTGGTTGCTTAAGCTAATTAAATAATTAGTAGCCTAAGCTAATTATCTTCTGGAACAAAATAGAGAAGGATGGAGAAAGTTGGAAAGAAAAGTTAGATAAAAGAAAAAGTAATAGGAAGGAAATCAAAGAGAATTCAAATTCATCTTTTTGGACTTGGGAATTGAACACTTAGGCGATTTTGAATACCTTAAAAGTGCCCTCCTAAAAAAAAAAAAAAAAACCACCAAACAAGTTGATTAAGTTTTAAACTAATATCGTTACTCGAAAAATTCTCTTTCTTAGAGGCTAACCAAGGTTAGTCTGAGTTAAACTTGACCACTTAAGCTAAGGAAACAATTAGTGGCTAAGCTAATTAGTGCCTAAATAGGGAAGGAGGGAGAAAGTTTGTGAGGAACATTCTTCTTGAGAGCTAAAAAAGGAAGTTAGAGAAAAAAAAGAGAAACGGGAAGAAAATGAAGGGGAATTCAATTTTTTTTTTTTTTGGGTGGGTAAGGGGAATTCAAATTCATCATTTTGTACTTGACAACTGAACACTTAGGTCATTTTGAAAACCTTAAATGAGGTACTTAAGTTAAACAACTAGCGTTAAGCTACAATTACTCAGAATTTTTTTTGTTAGAGGCTAAGCAATGTTAGTTTGAGTTAAACTAGCCCACTTAAGCTAACGAAACAATTAGGGGCCTAAGCTAATTAGTTCTCGAACAAAATAGATAAGGACGGAGAAAGTTATAGAGAAACATTCTTCTTGAGAGGTAGAAGAGGAAGTCATACAAAAGAAAGAAAAATAGGAAGAAAATCAAAGAGAATTCAAATTCATCCTTTTAAACTTGAGAATTGAACACTTATGTGACTTAGAAAACCTTAAATGAGGTGCTTACGTTAAACTAATGTTGGTAAGATACAATTACATAGAAAATTCTATTTCTTGGAGGAGGCAAGGTTAGTTTGAGTTAAACTTGGCCACTCAAGCTAATGAAACCATTAGTGGCCTAAGCTTATTAGTTCCTAGAACAAAATAGAGAAGGATGGAGAAGGACAGAGAAGGTTAGGGAGAAACATTCTTCTTGAGAGCTAGAAGAGAAAGTTAGAGAATAGAAAGAGAAGTATGAAGAAAATCAAAGGGAATTAAAATTCATCTTTTTGGATTTGAGAATTGAACACTTAGGTAATTTAGAAAACCTTAAATGAGATGATTAAGCAAAACTAATATCGTTAAACTAATATTACTTAGAAAATTCTATTTCTTAGAGGCTAAGTAAGGTTAATTTGAGTTAAACTAGGCAACTTAAGCTAATGAAAACAATTGGTGGCCTAAGGAAATTAGTTCCTAGAACAAAATAGAGTAGGACAGAGAAAGTTGGACAGAAACATTCTTCTTGAGAGCGAGAAGAGAAAGTTAGAGAAAAGAAAGAGAAATAGGAAGAAAATCATAGGGCATTCAAATTCACCATTTTGGACTTGAAAATTGAACGCTCAGGTGATTTAGAAAACCTGTAACGCCCTCAAAATAATACATAAAACCCATCACTTTAGACATGCATTGATATAAAAGAAACCAACCATTTCTATTCATCAAAGTAGTTCTTACAACAGTATTACATGTTAACAACAAAAGCAAATGTCCTATGGGCTTACAGCTTTTCAAGTCAACACCTGGTTACACAAAAGAAGAGTACTAACTCTATACAGAATAAGCCCTTGGCTTGATATACATGTAATACAAACAAAATAAACAAAAAGAGTCTTCAACTCTCATCATCATCCAAGCTATGCCTTTGGAGGTGGCATACTACCTGTACCTGAAAATAATGTCCCATATAAGAAGAGCCAACGCCCAGTAAAAATATGCTAAACACATTATGAGCAATAACTAAGACATTATCAATTGATAAATGTTCAATTTCTATAAATCAATTCATAACCCATTTCCATTTCATGAC